CATTTGTTGGCTCGAGCGAGCTTTCCTTCGCTCGAGCAAGCGAGGTGTATGTTTTGGAGTTCTTCGCTCGAACAAGCTTTCCTTCACTCGAGTGTGCTTCTAGGTTGCAGACCTGAAGTTTCGAATTGTTGGCTCAAGCGAGGCTTTCTTCGCTCGAGCGAGGGTTCTTTGTATCTGGTCGCTCGAACGACCAATTCTTCGCTCGAGCGAGCCTGTGTTATATTAGTAGACAGCAGCGGGATTACACTTCACTTTTATTCCTTTTGATTTCAAAACCCTAGATTCAGCTCTCTCTCTCTCTACACTTAACTTCTCTCTAGGGTTTCATCTATTTTTAGTGTGTTTCTACCCTAAGTTCTTTGTAAGAAAAGTAGAGGGTGCTGAGGTCTTCCTTTTAATCTGAAAAATAGTGGATTTGGAGCACTTTGATTTTTTCTCATCTTCTCATTTGGTCTTTTCATTTCGATATAGGGATACCCTACTCCATCTTATAAGTTTTGTCTTTAATTTTGGTCATTTTGATTAGTTGGTGATGTTGGGTAATTTTTTAAAAAGTTGGGGTTGTTGTGTAATTTATAAAAGAGGGGTTTTCAAATAGTAAAACCCATATGTGTGTAAGACAGAGAAATGGAATTATTGTTGTATTATTGGTGAAAATGAACCTTAGGGTTGATATTGTAAATTAGGGAAAAATGCCCTAGTTATGTGATAAATTAATTTGAATAATTAATTTGTGGGAATATGAAATTAAGTTGGAGGATTATAAAGTTGAATGGTGGAGTTGGATAATTTAATCACTCACCAGTGAAATTGTTGATATTATATCTATTGATGCATTTATTATCTGTTTAGAAATAACTGCTTTGGGCTATCAGTGGAGGATAGTCTTGATTGTTGTAGACACTGCATGTTGATTAAGGAAAATCGAAACTAATCATATTGAATATATCACTGAATATGACGGTTGAAATAATACATCAAATACGTGTATTGATTGATCCTTATATATGATAATTGTTTATGTACTTGAAATATGTATATTGTGTAGGAGGAGATAGGGGATGTACTCCATGGTTTGATGGAAGATAGGGGATGGACTCTCAAACCTGTTTGGGAGGAGATAAGGGATGGACTCCATCGATACAGCAAATATGTATATCAGATTGAAGTGTTAATACATCAAATATGTGTATTTAATGAAAGTATTAATATAGCGAATATGTGTATTATTTGAAGTGTGGAAGTGTTTTAATTGGATGTTGTAAACTCATTTGAATTGTGAACGAAGGAAGTGATTTAATGTGAGATGTAGTCTCATTGAAATGTTTGGCCAGATTCTGAGCCATATTTATGAAATGATTTGATAAGTAAATGAAAATGGATTGTATCATGGACATAATTGTCATGAAACTGTATTGTGATTTAAATTGGTTTTTAAGTGTTAACCATCTATCAAATGCTATTGTTTTAGTCATTACTTATATTTGGTTTAGTATATCTCTACTGGGCTGTGGCTCACCCTTTATGGGACATCATTTTTAGGTCCAGGTGTTATGCCACCTCCAAGGATATAACTTGGGAGGTTCTAGGAGTTGAAGACTCTTTTTGTTGTTTTGTTATCTTTTGATGTATTACATGTAAATTCAACTAAGGGCTTAATATGTATTTGAGTTAGTACTCTCTTGTTGTAACCAAGTGTTGGCTTGGAAAGTTGTAAGCGCGTAGGGCATTTACTTTTGTTGTCAACATGTAATACTTTTGTAATGAATACTCTGATAAATAGAAAGATGTTTATTTCTCTTATGTCTATGCATGTCAAGATTGTTGGGTTTTATGTATTATTTTGAAAGCGTTACAGCGATGAAAAGATGTTTATTTCTCTTACTGTATTTGTTTTAAGAAAAATTAATTAATTGATATTTATTTTTTTTAGAGATAAATTTAATAAAATAAAAATATTACCATCAGAGCACATAGAAAGAAAATAAAAGCCCGTAGAAAGAAAATAATAAATATAAGAAGAACAGAAAAGTTGCAAACAGCACATAGAAAAACTTTCCGGGAAAGTTCAAAGGAGGTGGTAGTTCCGCGCAGCAACCCACCATGTTCAAATCGACCAATTGCGTGGAAAGTAATGTTGACACCTTGGAAACTTCCTTTGAAACTTCGCAACTTCCGAGACTATGCTATAATTTTCTTTCTCTCTCTACTATCAATTCCACAAAAACCAAACCAACACAAACCAAACCCATATATATCGCCATAGGTATATGAATGAATTGAACCATACATATATACATACAACTTGACAAACCCACTCCCCAAATCTTCCCTATTTGAAGCCCAAGGCCACCCATATCGGAAAAATGGCCGGAATGTTGCCCGGAGTAGAGATTCATCGGAGGAGATCAAGGACGACAAATCCTCAACGCCTCCACGAGGACACTCCTTACGCCCCTGGACACCCCTTTTACAGATCTATGATGCCTACCTCCACCTCCGCCATGGATGAAACTGCTATCAAAGCTCGCCAACGCCTCGCCCAGAAACTTGGCTATTTCCGCCCTTCAAGGTTTTCTCTCTTTCCTTCATTTTTTTTAATCTGTTTCTCTTTCTGGGCATAGGATCTTCTTCTTCCCTAAAAAGTGTTAAGAGGTTTAGATCTTCCTAATCTTTGTATAAATGAAGCAAATTTTTCATTGCATAACAGTTCTTGTTTGGGTACTTTTAGAAATCAAAAAATGTTTTACAAAACTTTACCAATTTGGTTGTGGATTATGTATACAAGTTCTGACTTGTTCTGTTAATAACAGGGTGAATAGATTTCAATCAAAAGAAGGTAGAGGCAGAGAGGGTAGTGATACTCACTTGGTTTCAAGAATAATAGGGAGACCATGGCACTTCCAAAGCAACAACACTAGCCAATCAAAAGGGCAGCTTTGTGTTGTTTGCTTGGAAGATTTTGGAGCAGAGCATAAGCAAGTCATGGAACTTCCATGTTCCCATAAATACCACTCAAAATGTCTCCAGCCGTGGCTTGCTGCTCATCCCAATTGCCCCAGCTGTCGAAGCCCCGTTTTGTCCTAACTAATGTCAACTTTTATGTAGTCTTCAATTTACTAGAATGAATTTCGGACAGCAATTGCATGACTAGTCCTTGTTATATTGTGAATGGTAATTCTGAACTTTATTAACATGCATTGTCCTTTTATGCCCATGGTTGTTGCAATTAAAGTGATATGAAGAGAAAATTAAGATGGGATTCCCATTGATCTAATTTGGTTTCAGTATACTCTGTTTGGGTTTTTTTTTGGAAACATTTTCAAATGAAATTGTGTCCATGGATTGGTTTGGGATGGGGTTGATTTTTTGGCTTTTGATTATTTTAACTTGGGATTAGAATTTCTTATTTTGAATGAATTTTTTAATTTTTTTGATTTTTGTGAGAAAAAAATAAAATAATTATGATTTAGATGTAATATTTTATTTTGTTAAATTTTTTAATTTATTTTATATTTTAATTCTGGAATCTTGGGCCAATGAGTGTTAGGAAAATGAGTGAGAACACTAATTAGTGCTACCACTGATGATGTGGTAGTGGGCCTCACCATAAATGATTTGGTGTTTTGGCTTTGGTGCTGTATTTTTTTTTTTATTAAGTGTTATTAGTGATCTTTTTAGAGTTCTAAAATTAGTAATCTCTATCATTGTTGATGATTGTTAAGATATCAAGATTCAGAATTTTCAGCTGGTACATAAAAAAGGTGCAATGCAGAGAATTTTTGTGTCACTGATAAGGATTTTTTTCGAAGGACGGGATGCTCTTACATGGATGTTTGTGTCATAAATTGTCTTCGTTTCTGTATTTTGTTCCTGCGTATTTGTAGTTGCATTGTCTGTGTTGTCAAGTTGGCTTAAAAGTGACGCTCTAGTGGTTGGCCTTGCAAGTGATTTGTGGATTGAGAGGGCAAGTTTCTGAATGAGGCTACATTAGGCCATTTTTTAAGGTAGGCCATATGTTAGGTCGAGACCTAAATCCACCAACCTAGATGAAACAAGGTAAACCAACTCAAATTGATTTCGACTTATGATTAGGCTAGTTTGTTTCAAAAAAATATAAATAAGAAAAAAAAATGTGATTCTAGTAGTGATGGTGGCTACACTAGTGGAAGTAGTTGTAGTTGTAGCAACTATAGGGATAGACGCGTTGATTAGTGACATAGTCATAAATTCAATAAAAAGGGATATAAATTAATGGCAATATTAAAAAAAATTTATAATAAACAATAATGAAATATTATTAAACTTAAATATTAAGAGTTCATTTGGATAAGTGTGAATTTTAAATTAAATGATTTGAGATTAAATTTTATACAAATATTGAAGAGTAATTATTTTATAGGTGTATTGGAAAATTAAAACAGAAGATAAGTTGAGATAGAAGATATATTTTAGTAGAGAAATTTTATAAAATATACTGCAAAAAAGTGTCTATCATATGTTGCAATTCTGATCTTCGTGATCTTTAGTTATAACCCATTATAGTGTTAGATATAATTTAGGCCTCGTTTGGCAAGAGGCTATTTTAGCCAATTAGTCAAAAAGTTACTAAACTAGTCAAAAAGCCAACAACCCATACCAAAAAGTCAAAGATTCTCTTTTCTCTCTACTTTTTGCACATCTTTTCGTAATTAGCTAAAAAGTCATCCCAAACATGCAAGTTTTTTTATCTACCTTTTTAGCCAAATAGCCAAAAAGTTACTAAATTAGCCTGTTCCCAAACGAGGCCTTAGTTATAACTTTTTGTGGTTGTTATTTTGGTTATGACTATATATCATGTAATAATTGGTTATGACTCATTCTGATATTAGTTATGATCTATTGTAATTTTTTTTATTTTTTATAATTAAAGATGTGTTACTTGATTATAATTTATATAGTGGTCATTTTAATTATGAATGGAAAGAAAGACATGGAGGATAAACTTCACATGGAGGATAAATTTTACATGTCAAATGTAACTAATAATTCAATAAATTTCATATTGAATTGATTATGTTTGTATATCAATAATGATAGATATCACCATTATATTGAAATTTTCATAAATAATAATATGACTTATCATAGTCTCTTTATTTTTAATCAAAATAATTATTATTGTTCTCATAATTTTAAAAATGCCATTAATATTTCACTTTAATTAATATTTTTATAAATTATTTTTTAAAAAATATTTTCTTTATGTTTAAAAGAAAAAAATCCAAAACCAAGGGGCACGTGATTCTCTCCGCCACTGGTGGTCACCGTCTTCTCGTGTCTTATTCTCTCCGGTTACTTCCCTTTCGTTGTTAGTTCCAACACCAAGGATCCTCTAGAGTATTTTTTTCCTAAAGTTTCTTAAAGTGGTGTATTGTGTGGTTGAGATTTAATGTTAGAAAATTGATATTTTTTTTTTTTTTTTTTGTTGGTCATTTGTTTCCCTACTCAATCTTTCTACATAGTTGTCTCGTCTTTTTCGGTGACCATTGCAGCTGCTTAGGCTTTGTTTGGCAATGAATTTTTTAACTAAATTAGTCACAAAAAGATAAAATAAAATTATAAAATCAAAAAAAAAATTTACATCTAAATTATAATTATATCACTTTTTTTTTACAAAAATCGAAAAAAACCAATTCAAATGAATTTTTTAACCATAACTAAAATTACTAAAAAATTAAAAAGACCAACTAAAAGAACTATTTGCCAAATGGCAACTAAGTCATGTGACCAAAGGCAGAACTTTCATCAACCTCAACGTCGTTTTGGTTTTCTTTTTCCCCATGTTTTCTTTTCTCAAGAACCCTAACAGGCAAGAACAGAGAGACGAAGATAGCCGACGAATCTCTGTCTGTAAAACAACAAAAAGTAGAAAATAGTCGAGTTCCAAACTTTTCTGGTAGAATTCCGAGTGGGTTTGATTTTGTGAAGGTTCTAGATCTGTCTTCGAAGCTCTTCAATGGGTCTTGATAGCAATTCTGGTTTTGACCCGACCTTCATAGTATTCTGGACTCGGGTTTTGTGGTTTAATATTGTGTCCATATCTTGTTTTCCTCCTTTAACTCTTTGAATTTGAGCTTGAGGGTATGTTAGGCATGCTTGGAATAGGTTGGTGGTTAGTTAGTCTAAATTGTTCCCGCCCAGATTTTGGTCTCTTCATTCGAGCGAGCCTTGTGAAATTTGCTCCTTCGGTCGAGCGAGGTTTGAGGGTTCTCAGGTTTCCTTCCCAGACGCAGCATTTCTAGGAAGATGAAGTTCTTCGCTCGAGCGAGGCTTCTTGCGCTTGAGCGAACGTGTGCGTCTATAAAATTTCTGAAGCTTTGCATTTACGCTCGAGCGAGGTCACTTGTTATGTCTGGTCGCTCGAGCGACAACTCATTCGCTCGAGCGAAGACCGCGTATATCAGTTCGCAGCAGAGATATTTTACATCACTTTTTGAATTCCTTTCTCCTAAATGCCCTAATCCGGCACCTCCTCTCTCTAAAACTGTCTCTCTCTCTCTACAAATACTCTTTGATCTAAGCACCACTACCCTACTTCCTTTGAGAAAAAGGTGGAGCATCTTGTGGGCTTCCATTCCATCCAAACCAAGCTTGGTTTTGTGCCTTTTTGAGGATCTCCTTCTTCTCCTTTAAGCTTCTACATTTGAGATAGGAATATTCTACTCTTTAATATGGGTTTTAACCTAGGTATTTGTCATTTTGTATAAATGTGAAATTTGGAAGATTTGGGTGAAGTTAGGGTTTGGGAAATTTAAAAGAGGGGTTTCCATATTGGGTTCCATGAATATATATTTGAGGTTTGAATAGGACGTTACATGGGTTGAAATGATGAAATTTGGACTTGAAATTGATATTTGGACAAAAGGGAAAAATTGCCCTAATTTGGGTCAAATAATTATTTTGAATAAATAATGAAATTGATATGAGAAATACGAAATTAGAAGGGTGTATAAATAAATGGTGTAGTTGGATTTGTTGATAAATTGTCTATCTGTTTAGAAAACATATGTTTTGGGCTATCGATGGAGGATAACTATGATTGTTGTAGACATTGTATGAGGACTAGGTGAATCGAAACTAGTCATTTGAATTATGTCATTGAATATGAATATTTAATTAAACCATTGAATATGTGATTTGGATAGTCATTGTATATGATAACGCTTTTAAATACATTGTATATGTATCATTACTTGAGAGGAGATAGGGGATGTACTCCATTGTTTTGGGAGGAGATAGGGGATGGACTCCATTTTAAATTAAATTGGCCGGAGTGTCCAAGGTGAAAGTCCCGACACTTTATATGTGTATTCGAGTGCTGATTCCCTCGGATGAGATTCCGTAAAATGGCAAGAAGTTTGAAGTGTTTGGATAATGAATGCTGTTGAATTGTAATGAATGAGTTGTAGTCTCATTTGAAATTGTTTGGATAACAAAGAACTATACTTTTGCATTGATTTGAAATGGATGGATGGAAATGAATTATGATATGACTATCAATATGGAACCATGATGAAAAGAATGTAATTTGGCCTTGAGTATTGGATTTCTATTTGACATCTATATCTTAGTTAAATCTCATATGTTGTTTTAACATATCTCAATTGGGCTTTGGCTCACCCTACTTGGGAAACCATTTTCAGGTACTGGTGACATGCCACATCCAAGGACATAGCTTGGGAGGATTAGGGGCTGATGGCTCCATTTTGTTATTTCGTTTTGTGTTAAATGTTTATTCAAGCTGAGGGTTTTATATGTATAGAGTTAGAACTCTTTCTTTTGTTGTAACCAAGTAACGACTTGGAAAGATGTAAGCCCGTGGGGCGTTTATTTTGTTGTAATCAATTAGTGTTACATGCTGTAGTTTCAGAATGAATATTTATGAAAGTATAATGCATGTAATACCTTCTGTAATATAAACTCTGATAAATGAAAGTATTGCATTTTCTATTATGTTTATGAATCTCTTGGGTTGGTTTATCCTCTTTATTTGAGGTCGTTACAGTCTTTGCCTAATGATTTTGGTGGAAAGAGATTGATATAACAAGGTTTTTGGGTCTGTATCTTCAGAATTCACTAAAACTATTCCAGTGAATTCTTCAATCAATCTCTCGTTCAATAATCTTAGCGATGAAATCCCTCAATCAACGTCGTTGATGAACCAAAAAATAGATTTGTTTTCCGGCAATGCGGATCTATGCGGGAAGAATCTGAAGAAGCAAATGCACAATTCCATCAACACTCTCAA